AATTTGATGTGGAGGAGAACCCGGACAGCAGGGAGCAAAGGGGAAGAAGGGGAGCCAGGACGTCCCTGTGGGAGAAGGCGACGGAGCAGCCGGGGCTGCATCGGGCACCGCTGGGGCTGTCCTGGAGATCTGCTCAATTATTGCAGCAAATCTTGGGAGAGGTGTTAATTGCTCTTCACGCAGAAGTGTTAATTTCCTTCTAACAGTTTTAACCCAGCCCAAATCTAATTTAATTGCATTTTTTTCCCACTGTGAGAATACGTGAATATTCTCTTCTCTAGCTTGCCTGCTTGATACTTGGGCAGTGCAATTTTATGCCACATATTATTACAAACCCGAATTAGTTTGTGCTCCTCAACTTTTCACCATTTCCTGCTTTTTTTATTTCCATAGCAGATTTTTAGTTTATCTGCTACCTTGCATATATCCCAGCATACATTTTTCTATTTTAATTCACAAACAAGTGGAAGTGAAACCCTCTGGAAGGTGCTGTTTGCATCTCTTTTGAGGATCTCATTTAAAAAACACCCCCCTAATTTCATGCAAAATGTATTTACAGAGCACATTGTGGCTCCCTGTTTGCAAAGTACCAGTCAAAGCAAAGTTTATCTGCTACCTTGCATATATCCCAGCATACATTTTTCTATTTTAATTCACAAACAAGTGGAAGTGAAACCCTCTGGAAGGTGCTGTTTGCATCTCTTTTGTGGATCTCATTTAAAAAACACCCCCCTAATTTCATGCAAAATGTATTTACAGAGCACATTGTGGCTCCCTGTTTGCAAAGTGCCAGTGAACGCAAGGATCCCGTGAGCAGCAGCTGCATTTCTTGCTTCAGCTTTAGTGTATCACAGCAATGGCATTAAATTGGGGCTGTGAAACTTTGGTAACTTCGGAGGCAACATTGCAAAATGCAATAATTTTCCTTAAAAAAGCAGTTGCCCTGTTGAACAGCTTATTTTGCCACTGACAAGTCCTGATTTTAAACCAATACAAGAATTTTATTACAACCAACGGCCACCAGCTTTGAGTCAGTACAATTTGCAATATTATCCTATAATAACGCACCGGTGAGAGTTAAAGTAACATATTAAAAAGTGACCAGTATGACCATTAGCATCTCTTAGATTATGCTGTACACTAATTCCTAAGAGCAGCCTACAAAGAATTTAGGGCACTTTCTGCTTTACTATAAAATACATCATAGCTGCATATTTTGCTTTAGTTATACGCTATATGTTATGTCATAGTTAAAAAACTCTGGAAGTCAGTATAACTTCTTGTCCTTTAGCAATTTATGTTGTCTAAGAAAGACAGTAGCAAGGAAACACAGTCTGTCCCTATGCTATTTGAAGAGGTGGCTGCCAACACTCACAGGATAAAGGGCCCGTTTGGTTCAGGTGCCCGCGGCCCCTCTAGCGCAGCCGGTTGAGGCACCGCGTGCAGCTTCGGCTCTCCTTGGCCCTGCCCATCACCGTTTTTGTAGCACCCGGCATTTTAAGAAACCTGATGCACTTCATTTGTCTCCCAGTTGTAGAAGAGAAAGTATTCAGGTAATTTCCCTCCTTAATACAGTAGTGTCACTGTTCTGGAAATACTGCAAAACAACCTTTGGGTTTTGGATTTAACATTTTTATTGGTTCCTTTTTTCTTTTTTTCTTTCTATTATTGGTTCCTTTTACCTCTTTATTGGTTTTCTCTTTGTCTCTCATAGAATAAGGCAGTGATTGGAGAGGCTGGAATTCTGATGGCACCGATCCCGCCTGCCCAGGCTGCCTCCCTTTCCCGGGACAGCCCTGCTCTCCTACGTGACCTTGCGGGGCTGTGAACATAGGACACAAGCAGGGATGTGGAGCTAGGACAGGTCTGTGTAACCTGCAGCTCCGTCTCTTCCCCCTGGCAGCTTGCAGCAATCCACAGGGCTCCCATTTGGCAGGTCCCAGCTCCTTTCCTAGGCTACCCTCGTGTGAATCAGTTGCTTCCATGAGAACTGAGCGGAGAAATCTTAAATTTGCACGAGCGTGCCTGCAAACCAGGCACAGTTCCCGATTTAGGTCTCAGCCATAGGCTGGTGCTAATGCTGTTTATCTGCAGGTGACTCTAGCTTGTTAGAAATGTAACTGCTGAAGACACAAGGATTTTCAATTTCAGTTTAAAATTATGATGCCTGATTAAAAATGATTATTACTTTTTAAAGAAAAGACCTGTTCTTGAATTCAGGGTCTGTCTCGTGGTGTTAATGAGGATTAGTGAGCGCCGATCCAGGTTATATTGCAGGAGCCGTGTGAGTGCAAGACCTACGCAGGGCTGGAGCATCTTTCTACAAAATTCCTAATTGATTTCTTTGGAACAGCACGAAAATCTGGTGAATCAATCTAGCCCAGTATGTTTAGTAATAGACTTTCCTTAATCAGCTTTTTATTGCTGAAAGCTGTAGACTATTGTGTAGGAAAAGGTAGTTCTGCAGTTACAAATAAATCACGGAGGATTACAATTCCCAGCGCTTGCATTAAAGGAGGATTGATGGTTTTCAGAAACAAGCAGGCTTTCTTGTCTGCCCCCTGAGCTTTGAATGGACTGGTATGTAGTAAATTCAGACTGATTGAATGCGATGGTTTCCTTGCTCATATTTCACCAAGACAAGGGAATGAAAGGCAGCCTCACGTTACTACATTTCATTCCGACTCTGAACCGCGTTGTGAAACCCAAGAATAAATTATGGTGCATTTTAATGTCATTTGGGAAGGAAACGAGTGCACTGCGATTGCTTGGAAAGCAAAAGAGAAATCAATTAGCCTGTTAAACCCAAGGGGCTGTTGGTTCCCGTCAGGTGCAGTGACGCTGCAGTGACCTTGCTCGTGTCGGCTGGACTCCGCGTCCCGCTGGGCCGCGCGTTGCGCGAGAAGCAAAACCCCCTTCCCAGGGTCTCGACGCCGCAGGGAAGCGGAGGCCAAAACGCTCCGGAGACTCGTTTGGGTGCTGGGGGAAGAGCCAGGAAGGGCCCACGAGGAGGGCAGAGCCGCGGCCCGCGGAAGCGTTTGGACGTCCTCGGGTTTCACGGCCGCCTTGGCGCCTCTCCGGAGCCGCCTGCCCCACGCGCTGCATTCGCTCATTGGCCACGAGGGCAATAACTGCACAAATAAAACAGATTCCCTCCGAAAATAAGGCTGTTTTTCTTTTGAAAGCGCCACTGAGGGCAGGTGGTCCTGCTAGCGGGAACGGTCATAAGGTAGGACAGGGCACGTGGTGTTGGCGTTATCTTCGGTCTGGGTTTTGGCAGGAGAGTCATAGAATTTAAGACACAGGGGCAATATGATTTGTCTCCCAAAGTTGTCTCTAATGCTTGGGTAGCTGTATGAGGGCTAATTCTTCCACCACTAAATAATAGTTTGAAATAATTAAATGACAAGAAGTGCTATCATCTTCTTGATATTCAAAGTCAGGAGATTGGAGTGAAACTACTGCTGTGATCTCCAATATCTGAAACCTGTATTTTTAACAGCCAAACCAAGATTCAGCTGAATTATTGAAGTATTGTAGTGGAATGCATATGACCAATTTGTGAACATTTAGATCCCGTTGAATATTATTGTGCTGAACTAGATGTCACTGCAGCGAAGTTTAATTGTTCATATTTTGTGCCCACTGTGAATCATAATCTTTCCTAGTGGACATATTCAAATGCATGACTTTTTAGTTGCTGGTGCTTATCCAATATAAAGAAAAAGCAAAACATTTCACTGAATTAAAATTTATTTATATGTTTTAAAAATAGCTATTTTAGGAACAGTTCTGTCTTGTAAAGAAACAGTTTCTTTACAACATATTCCTTGTTATGAGCAATATATTTTCTAAAGAGAATGATAAAATATAATTATTTTATTAATTATGTTTTACCTGTATTTGATGACAAGCCATCAGTTTGACTGTGTAACTGCAGTGTATGTATTTTTAGAAGTGGTCAGTGGCAGTAAAACTTAGGAATGGTTTTGATTTGAAAGTTGATTTACCATTTTCTCATAAATGTACCAAGTCTCTGCAGTAGCAGCTCAGCCTTGTCTCTGCAGTTGGCTCTTCATGAACTCGTGCTCCATCAGCTGCTGCAAACTGCTGCCTTCTCCTCCCGTGGGTGGGCAGCAGGACAAGCTGGAGGGGAAGGCACAACAGATAATAGGAACGCCTGAAAAATGGCCTAGGGTGGCATTTCTGTCCCACCTCCCAGGTCTGCGTGTTGGCTCGTGGTGGGGAATAGGAAAACACACGTCTCTCCTGGAGCTGCGGGGCAGAAATCCTGGCCTCTCTGAAGGCAAGAGCTGCTGTGTCCTTCGGCGCAGCTGCTATTTCATGCTGTGCATTTTTAATCTTTATTATAAAAAAACCCAAGCTGGAGTAATGCCAGCATTAACTGAGTCAGCTTAGCTAAAATACTCGCAGGCCGGGCTAGGCAGAAGTCAGTGCATTCAGGAGCAGAGTAATTGTAATTCCCACATCTGTTTGCAGCAGTCACACTTATAAAAGCAGCCTGGAGATGCAGGGTGTCCTCACAGATGCTCATCAGCCCCCAGATGTGGCCAGGCCTCCTTCTGCCCTCTGGATGGCAAGAGCCCTGGTGACATTTTAACATAATGAGCCGCCTCGGCTGCTGTGCAAAGCCTGGGTTACAGGTTCTGCAAGAAAGGGACTCTTTTCCATTTGTACTTGCAGGTCAACACACTGGCTAGGAGAGGAACAAAGATGCTTTATCTGATAAGTCATCTGAGAGGCATCATCTGTTCTATAGGAAAAAAGTGTGCGATTCTTACCTCGGTGTTTCTTCCTGCTCCAGCTAAATTAACTCTTTAAAACAAAAATAGACCTGAACATTTACACTACAAGGGTATGCAAGTGCAGGAAATGCATTGGCGCTCAAGCATTTATGTTGGGAATTTTGGAGTACTTTGCTCCCGATTGCCCTGGCAGAGGAAGGCTGCGGGGTGCTTGCTCCGTGTTTGGCTGAGCCGATGCCGGAGCTGTCGCGGCTCACACAGGAGTCCCAGGCTTGTTCTACTCCTTGGGAAGGGGCCGTGCTTCTCATGCTGAAAGGACAGCAGGCCAAGTGGCAAAAAGCAGGCTAAGGCCGAAGGCGTTTGGGCTTTTCTGTTTGTGTGTCAGCTTGCAAAATAAAGTGACCTACAGAAACGAGAAGCGCGAGAACAAAGCGAGCGAGCGCAGCCCTACGGGGAGCCCGCGGGCCCCGCGCTGACACCGGCCGTGTCCTCCCTCCCGCAGGGCTGCCGACATGCGGAGGC